GTGTGTGTGTGTGTGTGTGTGTGTGTGTGTGTGTGTGTGTGTGTGTGAGTGAGTGTGTGTGTGTGTGTATGTAAGCGTGTGTGCGAGTTCTGAATAATATAATATTATAATATTTAAAATAATTACATTTATTTAGTGACTTTTATTAAATTTTCACTAGTGTCATAGCCCAATGTTAAAAGCCATTTCATCAATGTAACTTTGCAATCATGCCTGCACAGATTATAAACGTAGATTTTAGAATTGATGTAGTTGTACAAGTGACCTCCCAGGAAACAGAAGAATTTCTGTGTAAAGCTATACTTAGCATGAAATTTGGGGTAAATGGCAAAGCGACGTCTGTCCTTGACCAATAGAGGATTGTAATTAACAAGGGAGTGTGCTTCAAGAAGACAGTGCAATAAGAAAATTTGGCGTACAGATAATACCTGACACTTTAGGAACAGATCTTTAGTAGGATAGAGGCGTGGAAGATTCCATCCAACCTTTAGGATAGCTCTCAGGGCTCGCTCAAGCTGCAACATATGAGCCTTAGCAGCTCCACCCCAGGTACAAACACAATAGGACAATAAAGTTTGACCGACATATCATATACTATCATGACATAACATATACTATGTTATTGCTAGATCTATACCCAACTGTGACGGAGGTCTATACCCAACTGTGAGTGAAGCCGCTATGTGGATGATGGTCAGTGATCGGATTTTGTAGAGTTTTTTTACCAAGCTTCGAGGAACTGACACAGACAGCGGAGACTACCTCATGCCAACACTTTATTGTCCCTGATCTTTTCGGGATTCGGGAAACCCTACTTTAAAAAATTACGTTTTTTGGGAAAGGTAGGTAAACTCTTAGAATAATAACGCATAGAAACCTAGTCCGCACACGCTAAGTGAGGCAAATTGAAGCGCTCCCAAAGGGCCTACACGAGCGGGCGGGCCGTCAGTGCTCTAGGTCCACTTGCACCGCGAACAGCTCAAGAATTTTAGCTAAAAATGACGAAATGTGCGGTAAATGAGTGTAAAAATACGTCAGACAAACATAAAATAGATACTAACATCACATTCCACAAGGAAGTAACGCGTTTCAACTTGTATTTTTATATAAATATTCACTAAAACCTAAAATTAACCTACTACTAAAACTAGCCTACATGAAGACTTTTGCCTCTCTTGTGACAGTTCATTTGATATGAAAATATCATTCTATGCGTTATTATTCTAAGGGTAGACTATATTTATCTAAACTTTGCGACACATTTTTGCTACCATCAATTTTTTTTAAAGTATAAATTTTACATAATACCATCTCCGGCCAGACTGGAAAAATTTACTTAATACATGTAATTAGAATTAATAAAGTATTTCAAACATTCTGTTGAATTATGAACATTTCTTCGTGATACTAAAACTATCACATTGACTCCGTGTAGTTCTAGATATACATTTTAGCTTTCTGATTCGATTTTCATGTCATAATCAGAATGAAGATCATTCGGACAAAATGAACTTTTCGACATTGGGTCTGGTTTGGGTGTTCCAGAATCCAGATACCGGAGTGAATTCCATTGCTCTGGTACTCGTAGTACAGGGAATTCCCTTCTTTGAGACCAGAGAATTGATAAGGTTGCCTGGCACATTATTCTTATTTATTCACAAATGCAAGTAACCCAGAAATTAAAGGCATAAAGTATGTTGTATCATGGCTAAAGAGTTTTCTTGGAGATCATCGGTTATATAACCCGAAATAGAGACGAAATAAGAACCATCCACCCCTGGCAACTCATCAGGCAAATGGGCCTTATATCACTTTTAAATATCTCGTTTGCGTCGTACAGCGCCAACAACTGACCTGTCTGTACGTCTCC